CGGAGGTGCGCCGGGGCCGCCCCGCTCCGCTCCGGGCCGGGGTCAGCGCTCCGCCCCAGCTGCGCGGGATAGGGCCCCGGGGCTGCCGGACAGCGGCGGGACCCGGGCACGGTGATGTGACCTGAGGTGGTGCCGCATCCCCGGGATGGGAACCGGCCGGGCCTCGCCGCCCGTATCTCCCTCCCCTCACACGGCAGATCCCCGGCCCGGGACACGAGCCGTGGTGACGGACACAGAATCCCAAAACACACAAAACACCCATATGTGCCCATTCCCTCATCCCGGACTGGTCCGTCTGGTGCCAGCCGAGGACAGGATCGATAAACGCTTTTCGGGGTCACCCTTGGGCTGTCCGCCGTCATCGCAGGCAGAGCAGGTGCCTGTGCAGGAACAGGGAACCAGCCCCCGACTCTGGAGCAGTGTCTGTGGTATCCGGACCGTCAGAGGGGTGTTTTAGGGAGAGATCTGATGGACACAAGTGAAGTTTTCCATGGCACATGGCAGCAGAGCGGGAGAACACTTTTCCCATTTTGCTGTTCTTTGCTGCTCCGGAAGGTCGTGGATTCTTCCCTCTCTGGAGACATCCCAAACCCACCTGAAAGCGTTCCTGTGTCACCTGCTCCGGGTGACCCTGTCTAGGCAGGGGGCCGGACTGGACGATCTCCAGTGGTTCCGTCCAACCCCAGCTATTCTGTGATTCAGTGATTCATTGGCAGCCACTTGTTGGACACAAAAGTGCCGCCGCGGCGTTATTTCCAGTCAGCGCCTGTTATCAGCCGCCCGCAGGTGTCTTTGGGAAGTGTGTGCAATCAGGAAACGATCCCTCGGCAGCGCAGCACTTCCCACGCCTCCCAAAGCCTGGCCTGGGAGACTCGGGGAACACGGCACGCCGTGACATAAAATTACCTTTGGGCAGGACTCGGGGAGGTCCCCGAGCCGCGCCCAGCACGGGCGGCTGCCCCCGCCGGGAGCCGAAAGCGCAGGTGTGTTTACGGGAGCAGCTCCGGATCCTGCTGATAAGGCTCCTACCTTTGCGCTCCCGAGCCACAACAGAGCAATCGCACCCTCTTCAAACGAGACCTGGAAATGATACCACTGGAAATAGCTTTTATTGCCGCAGCTGCCCGTGCCGGGTGTGTGCCCCGCGGAGCCGCTGCTGCGAAGCGGCGCTCTGGGGAGGAGGCAGCTCCGCGCCGTTCACCTCAAATAACTCCGGGGCGATGTGAGGCTCACGCATGACCTGCCGTACTCCCGCAAGCACAGGTCCATCACGCTCCATCTGCCTCCAGCCCTGCCCGGGCCACAGCGGGTGCCCGGGGTTGAGGATAAAGAGCGGAGCAAGCGGGTAGAGACATTTCCCCGCCTCTGGTGACTCATGGCTCAGGCACGTCCAGAGCCAACAATGTGCCTTTGTGCTCGGAGATCTCAATGGATTTCTCTTTCGTGGTGTTGTCTCCTTGGCTTTTGAGCCTGTGTAAAGCCCGTAAATCCTGAAATAATGAATCCCACACAGTTCTGCTGCACCTGGCGCAAAGAAAACGCCTCCTTTTGTGGACATTGAACCTGACATCTGCTAGTTTCACTGCATGCTCGCCTGCCTTTAGAACAAAACAATGAATCCAACATTATTCATCCCCTCCCCTGCCAGTCAGGATTTGAGAGCCTTCTATCATTTCTGTCAACTGCTCCAAGCCTCGGCTGAGTCAGTGGAACAGTGTCAAGGGCTGGGCAGTGAAATTTGGCCGGCAAGCAGTGCCCTGGAGCTAATCCCCCGCTCCGCTGTGTTTACACCCGCGGGGAACCCCGGCGGAGTGCCCGGTGCTGGTCCCAGGAGGCTCTCGGGAATCCCGCTGGTATTTTGGCACAAGAGGGAATGCTCGATTACAAAACCCAGGTGCGATGATGACAGGGGCCAGCGCTGGCTGTGATCACAGAGAGGCTGTGATGGCAAAGTGCCACCGCGGGGCACGGACAGAGCCGGGCACGGCTGATGCGGCTGCGGAGCTGCAAGAGGAGGTGGCACATACAGCCCGACAGCGGCTGGGTCTGAGGAACAGCCCCAAGTACAGCCAGGGGACGAGGGGACAGGCAGAGAGCAGGGCCCAGCACGACTCTGGCTGTTTTAACCTTAAACTCGGGTCCCTGCACAGCGCCCACTCCAGTTTGTGTCCATCACCCACTGCCTGTAACAGCACCAAGGGAGAGGGAAGAAGCAATAAGGAAAAGTAATCCCTTGTAACTGGGCCTCTCCAGCAAATTTGACTTTGTACCTCATGGTGCAGATTTAAAACCAGGACACATGGAATGGTTCCAGGATAAAGGATAAAGAATCAACACCATCTTTCTGGGCACCAGGCCCTCCAGGCACCAGAGGTGCCACAAGGCTGTGCAGTGGGTGGTAAGGGATTAAAGGTGATTTCTGTCATCTGTCACGCAGCTGAGGTGAATATGGCACATCCCACCTCACTGTGGTGGTGGCACATGGAAAATATCCCCAAATGGGGAGGATGGAGAAACGGAGGCTGAGATCCCAGGGCTGCAGAAAAATGGCTCAAATGACAGAGCTGTCCAGCCTGTTTCTCTTTGTGCTGAGGGGCTGCAGTTGCCACATCTGTCAGAAGATGGTCGTGCAGGTGACTGTCAGCATTGGAGATAAGGGGGAAATTGCAGCTGGGAGTTCGAGCCAGGGCTGCTCCCTGTGGCAGTTCACTTAAACAGGCCCGTGGGAGAGAAAGTGGTTTAGCAGAATTCATTCACTGCCTTCTGCCCTCCTGGGGACCTGCTGTTTTGGAGCCGGTCTGTTTTCCCCAGGGGGATTACCAGGCCTTTAACCTCCCTTGGATTTCTCCAGGGCCCTGTTTCTGTGTCTGGGAGGGTGCTCAGGGATTAGCCTTCCTCCCAGGAAGAGGCACAATCCCTAATGCACTCTAAATTCCTTAGCACCCCATGCTCACTAAGCTGCATGCTACTGGAACCTGAATCACTCTGAGCTATCTCTGTCCTATCCCCATGACTCTCAGGATTTGTAGCTCTCAGATGGTCCCTTGTTTAAATTATCAGGATTTTTTGCTTTCCTCCCCTTTTAGCTGCACCTGGGGCTCTTGTCCCTCGTGAGCTCTGCTGCTGTGTGTTCAGCCGCTGCCATGCAGAGGTGCCCGGTGCCTGTAGGTCCCTCACCTGCACCACAGGTTCCTCAGACCTCATTTCCCTCACACAGCATCTGCCAGGTGCCATTTCCTGGTTTAAAAACTCAGCCAGAGAACGACAACAACAACAACAAAAACAAATGAGAAAAAACCAGCTTTCCCAGAAACGTCTCTTTTTATTAAATCATGTCTTTAGCCCTAGAAACATTTGCGTACTCGAGGCCTGCTTACCCCACACAAAGCAGCAGAGCCCCAGAGGAACCGAGGCAGCAGAGATGGCAGAGGGCTCCTGAGTCAGGCAGGGTTGGCCCCAGCTCTGGGGAGCAGCAGCTGCCACAAACCACAGCAAGGGCGCTGGTGTCACTGTAACCTCCTTCTCACTTTTCCAGGGAGCCAGCCTGCTGCTCCAGGGCCCACTGAGACCTGGGAGAGCACAGTCTTTGTTTTCAAAACTCCCCTTTTGCCTCATGACCACTTTGGGCCCAAACCAGCATGTCCCAGGCTGGGCTCTCCAACCCCAGGGCTCTCTTGGGCCCAGCATTTCCAGCTCCTTCTGGCCCTGCTGTGCCTTCAGCTTCCTGCTGGGATGGGAGAGCAAGGAGGGCTCCGAGTGCCCGGACGTGCTGGGCAGATCTGTGTGCAGCCACACTGCCCTGCACTCGAGCTGGGCTTGGGAAAGGAGCAGGACACTGTCAGCTCCCTCCAAACTCCACAGAGAGCAGAGGCAGAATCAGCAGAGTGGTTTACCTTTGCAAGGTTTGTCATTTGATCAATTCCACTGAAGTGGTCTGGGGCTCCCCCCATTATTTTGATAATGTTGCTTCTTTTTCTGTGAAAGGTGAAAGAAACTTGCTCAATCATCTGAGTTTAGGGACATTACTGGACATAATCTCTCCATCTCCACATTTACCAGACCTATTGTCACTGTTTCCTTTTCTCCTTCCTACTCAGGCACTGAGTTTTCTGTTCAGAAAGCTGCTGGTGTCCCCTCTCTGCAGAAGCAAAAGGAGCTGGAAATTAAAACTGGTGCCAGAACTCCAAGGGGAAAAAGATCCCAAAAGGGTTCTGGCTCCCAGCCCTTGAGAGCTAAGGTTGTGTTGTTGCTTGGTATCACAACTGAAGTCACCCCAGTTCCAGGAATAGTGTTATTAAAGAACAACAGGAAACGCACAGCAGAAAAGCTACAGCCCATTCAGCACGTTTGGGTACAACTCCAGCCCGGTTCCCTGGGATGGGGAACACCAAACCCGCTGGGTTCCTTCAGCCACCCCCACCTGAACCCCCAGCAAAGTCAGGTCTGAGCACGGGGGCACAGCAGGGAGCAGGATCCCTGCTCGGGGGCCTCACTTGGCTGTGTTTATCTCTGAGGTTTTTAGGGCACTGCAAAGCTAAGGGCAAAGATCCCTGTCCTTGAATTCCCAGCTCTGTACCAGCTCCACCTTTACAGTACCTTGTAGGTGGGTCTATATTACTGCAATGGAGAATTAGCACTAAAAATACAAATTAGAAACCAATTATCTCATAACCCCCCACTTTTTACTCAAGCTTTTTGAATCCATTCAACGTGCATCTGAGCTGTCCTGAGCCAGAGACCAGGGGACGGTGGCAGTGACCAGCCCCTGGTCCAGCGAGCAGTCCACAGCCTCAGCAGCAGCTCAGTCACCCAGGTACAGCCCAAAACATCCCTGCAGCCCTGGGAGGAGAGTGGGGAGCAGGGCACGGGCTGTGTCCGAGGGTGAGGCTGTAGAGAGGGGAAAAAGCACAGCAGGGGCCACCCCAGGACACGGGACCAGCACCTGGGGACACGGGACCAGCACCTGGGGACACGGGACCAGCACCTGGGGACACGGGACCAGCACGTGGCTCCATCGGGTGCTTGGGGGTCTCTCTCAGCCCAGCAGCGCAGGTGGAGAGGCTCCTCCTGCTAAAGGTTTGCAGGGCACTCCTGCTGTGATTATCACCAGGCCACTGGGATGCTGAGATAAGGAAGCTTGGAATGCCCAAAGAATTGAGTAATTACCCCGATTCTCGGAACACAGGGCAACAGCCTGTGATGGGTCTTATCAGTCCTTACCTATTCACTTTTATGGATACTGTAAAAGCAATACAATACTGTGAAAAAATTATTAGGTTGCATTAGTTCTTTAATATTTACTAAACATTTATGGAAAAAAGCAATGCCATTTCTCTTCAGATGGATTCTTTACATTTAATGTCCACAATGTTTATTCCTTTCAGTCTTTACATTTCTCACACTGACTGGCAGTAAATTGGGCTGAAGTTATTTCTGAACCAAAGCTGCTGCTGGTTCCCGGTGCTCTTTGATAGATCATGCACTGCCCCAACAAGAGGTTATCATACCATTAACTGTGCCCATGACACAGCAGGATCACCTGGTAATAATAGTGATCCCAGTCAGGGTCAGGGCCCTTAAACCACCCATTTACACCCTCAGCTGCCACAGAGGAGATCATTAACAAGCTGGCTGACTTGCCAGTAAAGGTTTCCAGTTGACTTTGGCTTGTGTTTCCAGAATGAGAGTTAAAAAGCACTTCCATGGAAGATGCAGAAAGCCAGGGATAGGCTGTAGTCAGTGGGACAAAATACAGGATCACAGAGTCTTTACAGATGATGTGGAAAATGGTATCACCACTCAATAGCCCCTGGGAGGGCACTGGGATCCTCAGGAGGGCTGTCCCCAGCTCCAGGGACTAGCACAGCAAAACCCAGAGCACAGAGCAATTCAGCTTGACCTGAGCTGAGCTTTACCTGAGCCCACCGGGCAGTGGGGCCCAGTTCCCTGGGAAGGAGGGCATGGCTCAGCACATCCCTGCTGGAGGGCTCTGCCAGCAGGTGCCAACTGGAAAAGCCCTGGAAGGATTTTCTCACTCACACAGTAATGTATCTTATCCTGGACTAAGACATGAATAATATCCAAGTGTGACTCAAACCAGCTTGTGAGAGGCTGAATGTTTACATTTAGACCAAGAGAGCAGAGCAAGCCTGGCATTCCACCTCCCGTGGGATTAAGAATGGGGCCGGGATTAAGGACACTGTCCCAGATCCTGCCAGCCTGGCTGTTTATAACCAGCATTTTCCATTCCTCTAGCCAAGCCCACTTGT